CGCTACTCACACCTCCCCCCGTCCCGCATCCGCCCCTGCCAAGAATACCAAGACTACCCGAATAGTCGACCTGAGATTTCTGTGTTAGTGATGTTGAGATGCTCCTACACGTCGGGCACAGCTGAATTGCATATCTGCAGCAAGAAAATATAACCTTCTTTTATATGCGTCTTCTCTTCAAAAGTCGCCTAGAGAATATTTATTTTTCCGCTGTTATCATTGAATATTACGTGACGAGGATCGGGTGTATAATATATGCTGTAATTGTGCATAATTAAGGCTGGGTAGAGAGGAGAAGTGGGCGGTTGAATGTAACTAATTATTTTTCTAATTAAACTAATGCCTTTTTAATTGCCTCAGCACTTTCATTAGCTATCGTTTCATCGTCACATTTCTTCTCGCCATCAGCGCTTCCAACTTTCCCACGCTAGCCTATTATTAATGAACTTTTCGCATCTACATAATTTCACACAGGCGGTTTTGACGTGGATCCTTTCACCTTTCCGAAAAGCTTGTTCGCTGAATGTTGCATGTTATGTCCCTATCACATAATTATATACAACTTACAAAAGCGATGATGAATGAATGATTATTTTCTTTCTTCTGCAAACTTATCGGTTTTTAAATTCAAACAAGCGAGAACTTGCGCAATGCATGCTAGTGATTGCGATTTTCGTAAAGTGTTCAAGCTTTAGATTTAACATTATTTATTGATAAGTAGGCCTATATCCTCGCTTCTGACGCCATATTCTGTGAAAAGCTTATAAAGGTGTTTCGCAATGTTTTGAGGGAATTTTTTTGGAAAAGATATTTGAGAAAGGGAAAGTTTAGAGGGAAAGATATTTCGCGAGCGCCACATCGTCAGTCATTTCTGTTTTTGCATGTTTCAGTAGATTCGTATGTTCAGTTATAGTGCAATTCATATTCTAGTTCTGCAAGCACTGAGCTTCTTTCGAGTGGCCGCACGCACATCTCATCCTTATTTTCACTAAAATGATTAAAACATTCTAGCTGGATAAAATTGGGCTCAACATCCTCCGGCGCAATAAATTTGTCCCTGACATGAAATAGCTGTTTGTATCGTTTCGCACTGAGGGAACGACTGATAAAATACATTAAATAAGTGGACATCGGGCAATGTCATTGCGTTCCTGGGAAGAGAGCCATATGGCATTCGAAAAATTCGGAGGCTAACATATGGTCGTTTGGCATTTCAATTAAACATTCTTCATCGCATTTTGGCTTTCAAATCGGGATGCTCTTTTCCTGAAAGTCAAATTAGGATTTTTTTTTTTGTTTTTTACCAGTTTTATTATACTTTTTTCGTAATGAAAAGCACAAGTGCTTCGACCGCTGAATCGATTTCACCCACATTCTGTGTTATAATTTAAGGCTTTTTAACAAATTTCTTGGCCAAAGCCTTTGCCACAAATTTTGCGGTTTAATCTCCTCGAATCCTATTATTATTTTCAAGCCCCATTATTGTTTCGCTTTCATCCAGGACCATTTCGGTCTTCTTTCCACTCCATGCCACAATTTTGTCATTTTATCCGGAATATTTAGAACAAGGCGGTTATTCTTCCTTGTTCTTCTT